TTTTATTAATTCTAGAGTTAGATACGCATCGCTTAGCAATGTTGGGACACACAGGCGACTTTTGAGAGAACACTGTGTCTTATTAGTTTTGTCTAAAAGTCTTATTCTCTGGTGGCTAAACAATAAACTTGTGAGTTTGTATCACTGAAATTCGATCTCTGGGTTGGGCACAGTGCAGATAGCTCATTGTGCAATTTTGCGCTTAACAACAAACAAACAAAATAAATCTTATTCGTGAATCATGTTGTAAAAAAACACCTTTCTACGAAACGAAAACATGCTCTATTCATCATAAAGAGCTTGGCATGGCCTGGTGGTTAGGGTCACAGGTTCGAATCCACGTCCCAAACATACTCGCCCTTTTATTTGTGTGGGCGTTATAATGTTATAGTCAATCCTACTCTTCGTTTCTAAAATAGTAGTCTAAGAGTTGGCGGTGGGTGGTATTGGATAGCTACTTCCCTTTAACATATCACTGCTACATTAGAGACGGTTAGCGCACACATTCCCAGAGTAGCTTTGCGCAAAAAATCATTACAAAACAAAACATATTTTACAGATCTTGAGTATGTTACATTAAAACGATTTTCGAACCTTATTATGCCAGAAGCACTGTAGCCTAGTTTCTATTACAAAAGGCTCCATTGCAAGGCTGTCATTTTCAAATCTCGCCCTTCCCCATAATCCATCTAGTGTACGAGGACGACGGTTTTCCCGCTCCTGTTTCAATAGTCTGATCGCAAATAAATCCATAGGAGTTGCATACGATGACTGTTTAGGGTATAGTAATTGTAATTAGCATCATTTAAAGAAAGTAAAAATATAATTACCTACAATATTATCAGGTCTCTCACGAGCCAGTGGGGGACATTTTTGTTGGAAAAAAAACTACACGTTCCGGTTATTCTTAATTTGAACTGAAATGTTTTGAACATTTTTATTGGCTAGAAAGAAGGCATTTGCCGCAATATTTTATCGTTGGGGCTGCGAAAAATTATTTGAAGTGGTAAGGTGACTGAAATTCGTCAGCACATCACGAGCTTAATGGCCAAGCACAAGAACCATGGAAGTCTCCAAATGACACGCAGAGGTATTCAGGAACCGTTTAGAATCACATTGATAGATATTGTGCAGCAAGCCGTGTACAAAATTATGCCTGTAGCTGCTTTTAAAGTGTTCCTGTCTGCTCATCCTACTGCTGACTATCGTGATGCTTCGACTTTTCCTACCGAATTGCAGATGAAATCATTCGTATCTCAATTAAAGCAAAACATAAAAAGGTGATAACAGAAACATAAAAGGTTAGCAATTGCTTAATTAATGATGCTGAGAATGTGGCTTTATTGATATATACTGAATTTACTCCCAGCAGGTAAACCTTAGTACTAGTTAGTATGGTGACTTCAGGATACTGTAGTTCAAAAAAAAAATTATCAATTAACAAAAGAAAAGTTGTCTCGAAATTGTCTCGAAAAGATACGTCCAAAACCACCCTCTTTGGAAGTCTCCGGGTTGAAATTACTTTTAATATTCAACAAATTGTAGTGTAAAGACACCCATTTTGCTGCTTCTCTGATTTTCTTCGATAATGAAAACGTGTCATTAGTACGAAAAAATATTAAAAGAAAAAACATTGTTTCGAATGAAAACATTTCAATTATGTAATATTTTGAGGCCCATCCTGTCCTTTTTCAGATAATTTTCATACGTAGTTTTAGAAGAACATTTCCAAAGAGAAGACAGTTTGTACTGAACTGCATATTTCGTTCCTATGGAACTCGTGGAGTGAATTATCTGAAAAATATTAAAAATATTTTCATTTGTAAAATATGACCCGGCATGGCTAGGTGGTTAGGGAGCTCGATTCGCAATCTGAGGGTCGCGGGTTCGAATCCCCGTCTCACCAATCATGCTCGCCCTTTCAGCCGTGGGGGCGTTATAATGTGACGGTCAATCCCACTATTCGTTGGTGAGAGAGTAGCCCAAGAGTTGGCGGTGGGTGGTGATGATGACTAGCTGCCTTCCCTGTTAAATTAGGGACGACTAGCTCAGATAGCCCTCGTTTAGCTTTGCGCGAAATTAAAAATGCAAACAAACAAACATTTGTAAAACTTATTAGTATAAGTCCAAATAATACGAATCAAGTTGACTGTGGTACCAAGAAAAAATTTAATATACATAAAGTAGCAGAGCAGATGATATTCAATTTGTTTAACATAAAATCTTCTACGCCTCGCCGAAAAATTACACATTTCAATATTACACTGGGTTTCTGCGTCTCATTTCAAGGCTTAACCAATTTAAACACGATTCAATTTCCTACATTCTATTTGTTTTCTTCTATATGTAATATCTGTGAATAATTATCTTCATATATTATTCTACACACTGGATAAACGTTGTGTATTTTATCATATTATTATAGCATAGGCGTCAAAAAGCGAAATTGTGTTTCGGAGGAGAAGGGGGGGGGGGGTTGGAAGTGACTCAAGCTTGTCATAAGTGCGTTTGAACTATATATTAGGCGTCGGAAGCGAAATTGTGTTTCGGAGGAGAAGA